AAAAAAAAACTTCAATTTTAATTAAAAGGTGTCTGCAAAAATGCAAATCTAACATAAACTTGATTTATTCAATAATACAATTTAGCTTTGTTCAGTAATCAATAGCTGAATAAGTTGAATTCAAGTTCCATCTGCATTTTGCTAGATGCTTAAATATGCAGATTATTTTTTTTTTATAACACCCAATACATTTAAAAATAAAAAACCTTTAAGAAAATATTAGTTTTTATTTTTAAAATTACTCTGATATAGCAATTTAATATCAGTAAGCAATTCAGCAATTAATATTAATAAGCTGAATTTGAATAATAATTTTACTGCAATTATGTTATTTCAATTACATATTTAATTAAAATATAACAGTTTTAATATATTATAATACAGAATTGTGAACAGATCTGCTATATTATTATATAGGTATCAACAGACCATTCAGCAATTAGAACTTATTAGCTGAATTGCATAAGAATACAATAATATTATTGCGCTTTTGATATCAGGGTATTTTCTTGAATTAGAAAAAAAATTTGTTTTGATTTGTTTTAAATAAATCTTTTAAGAGGTGAGGTTTTTTTTTTCCTATTTATAGGCACTTAAAAATTTTTTTAAGCCTAAAACATTATAGTTGTCCTTAGTTTTTTAATTTTTTTCACCACAAATAATTTATGAGTAAAAATTGCAAATTTTTTAAAATTTTTTTAATAACTTTGCATAAAAAGTGCTATAAAAATATTTTTTAAATTATTCCTTGCTGCTATAAAACAATTAATTGTGTTTTTAAAGAAAAGAAAAATTTTACGATTACATTAGATAAGGTATGCGGCTAGGTATTATTTTTTTTTCTTATTACACCATTAAATATTTTCATTTAATGTCTTAATTTTCCAGCCCCCTATATACTTTTATGTTATACCTTTTCAATCCGTTAAATTTTCACAAAATTTCACTCCTACTTTTCATATTTATGTAGGTAATTTTTTAGTTTTTTTCTATTTTTTTTCTACTTTTCACATTTTTTTTTTACTCCCTATAGTCTCTCCACTCGAATGATAGACTCCAGTAATATAAACTAATGTATGTATGTATGTATATGTACTACATATTTTGCATCTAATTTAACATTAAAAAAAATCGTAACATTTTTTTTTTTTACTATTATTTATGCATGCATTTCTGTCTAGAATGATCTTTAAATTTTTATTTTGTTTTTAGTTTTTCTTCCTATTATTATTATTTTATTACGATATTTTATCAGTGTTTGTACATAATTTTGTTATACACATGAATTTATGTATATGTTTGTATGAATATAGAATTAAAATATCTTAAATGCAATATAAAATTTTCGAGCCCCCTTTTTTTTCTACATTTAATCAACACACATTAAATTATTATTATGTGCATACATAATTACATATACCTAACATACATACATATATATGTATATGGTTAGTATAACACAAAAATAAATTGAAGGTAATCTGAAATTACAATGAAAATGAAAATGAAAAAAAAAAAAAATTATGATTGATTGGAACAACAATTTAAAAATTTAGATACTAAAAAGTCATAATCAAACTAAGCAACATGTTCTACATACGTACATACATACAAACATAAGTAGATATATGTATAACAGATAGGAAAAAAAATACAATTTAAAATTATTGTGATCGCGTGAGTTAAATTCTTGCGAATTGCCAATCTAATGTTTGTTTAGTGTATATAATATACAAATGTGTATATAGCGTATAACATACTTTTTTTGTATGATCTGATCATGTATATATGTATGTATGTAATACAAAATTATATATAACAATTAACACAATAATATAAAAATAATGTTTTCTATATAGAAAATAGCAAAGACACCACATCATTTTTATCATACCACCTATTTATGAATGTGAGTACCTACATATGTAAGTATGTTAGCTTTTACCTACAATCCGAATAAACTTTTCTATATTATATACATACTTAGATATTAATCTATATATTAAGTATATATGTATGTACATATGTACATATTTATGTTTTTATAAAAATAATGTTTTTGTTGCTATAATATTGCTCTAATGTTGTTCTTGTTTTTTTTTTTTGTTACGTGTTGAAATAATCATCCGAGCGCAAAGCACCATAAGATCTCTAAGGCAAAGGTGTTTTATTATTATTTTGTTGGTTTTTTCTTTTAAATTGAATACATAACAACAAGCATTGAGATATATTATGCATATAACTACATACATACATATAAGTATGTATAATTATAAAATATGAACATAGAAAAAAAAAAAGCAATGCTCATCGGTGACGTAATAACATCGTACGATCGTACGATCTGTGGAATTTGGCTTTTATTTCTTTTCTTTTTTCTTGTTGTTTTCTACTTTTTTTTTTTATATTTTATCGATTGTTTAGTTGTGTATAGGTGCTCAGTTTTTGTTTTTTTGTTTCACCTTTATTTCTCTTGTTTTTTTTTTTATTATTTTTTTTCATATATATAGGAATTTCTTAGTACAATCATCTATATACACATACATATATTAAAATAAAAAGTATGATCATACATGCTTAGATATACACTTAATATGTATGATAAATAAAATACGGAAAGCCAAAAGAAGAATAACAAGAAAGAGAAAAAGAAAAATTAAAAAAAGTAAGGCAAGAAACTGTAAGCATGTAGATATGCAATCGGTGATATTATTCAAAAAAAAAAAAAATTTTTTTTTTATGTTGTACTGCCGTTGAGAGTTAATTACTCACTTGTTTCTTTCAACTCTTATTTTTTGTTGCTTAAAAATAAATTTCATTTATTATACTTAAAGAACGTATACACCATACCACTACTATACAAATTTATGTATGTATATACATACTTATATACTTTAACATACTAATTTTAATCACATTAATACAGTTGTATACATGAATGTTGTATACTCACGGTCGGTTTATTTTTAGGTTTTTTTTGTTTTGCTAAAATTCTCTTTTTCGCATATCACCTATATCTTCTAGATAAACAACTACATAATAATATTAAAAAGATATAAGTTTGTATAAATTATAATATTGTTATACTAAGTGGTTATTCACTTATTATTTGTTTACTTCGTATCATACATGTTTGTTGTATGATAATTATTATTGTTCTGAATTAGTTGCAACATAATTATGTATAAGTATGATAAATGAAAGTAGACAATAATATCATGATTAATGAATGTAAGTGATATTACTATCAATATTTTCTAGTTACTGATTAAATACTGTTTCATGAGAAAAACCGGGAGCATAATATGAAATTATAATTTGAAAAGTTAAGGGCGGCTAGTTAGTATATTGATATTAAAATATATGAACATAATCTATAGCTTAAATAACTTAAATTATAATATCCTAAAATGAGCGACTAATTTCTAAAAACAAACGAATACGAGTATAAGAAAATAAAATTAAACATTCAAAAATAAATAGAGAAATTAGTGTGTCAGGAAATCTGTCTGACGTGGCATATAAATATTCTGTATGGCATGATATTCAAAACAAATATTAATTATAGAATTATTTTGTTATTAATAATAAGATCGCACCACTAGGTGCAAAAAATAATATAGAGGTACCTAAATAGTTTTGTTTTCTTTTACAATAATTCTTGCGTCACTTAAAGTAAAAAAAAAAATAAATTGTAGCCAATTATAAATTGTAATAAAGCTCAAATGAAAAGTAAAAGTGTGAATCATTCACAATTATTATAAGTAGGTATAATGTTTATTTTGTTGAGCTTTAAATGGTATTCCTAGTTATTTATTTGTTAAAATGAGTCAGGGAATTAGAATATTTTTTTTTTTTTTGGAACATACGATCTTTAATTACGTAATTTTTACTTTAACACTAGAAGAATTTCAAGTTAAGCATTATTATTAACAAAATTAATAGGAAATATTTTGAGAGGAAAATTTTCTTAGAAATTTATTGAATAAAATAAATATTTTATTTCATTCAAAAGAAATAATATTATAATTCTAAATCTAATATCTATTTTAGTTCATCTGATGCTATAAATTAAATTTTTTAAGCGTATATAGTAAATAATTTTCAAATAATTAATTTTCACAGCTTGGTTGCATTAAAAAAATATGGCAAATAGATAATAAGATAATTAGAACCTATACACTTAATGAACTCAAGGTCTTTTGTAATAATAAAATTGTCTACCTGAAGTGATATAATGTTAGACACCTGGACGACATTGAAATGACAATTTTGATATCCTTAACTAATTTTACATCTTATTGTTTTCTTTATTCAATTTTTAACTTGGTTGGTGGTAATTTGTTTTTTTTTTTGTTATTTTCAGAATTAAGCGTTCTTCAGAATTTGAAATCTAAAAAACATGTTGTTCTGACATTTAATTAAATAACTTTAAGTTAAATATAATATAAGAGTACCTAGAAGTTTCTAATAATTATATAATATATCAATTTTATATCACTATTAGTATATCAGTTACTATATAGAACATTACTTATATGAATAACAATAATGTAAAGTGTATAAATACTCCCATGTGCTCTATGTGCTCTAATAATACATAGTACTCACATAATAGAATAATTTGTGTTATATTCATACATAATATTTGTAATTCAAGAATAAAAACAAAAATAAAAAATATATTTTATTTCTTTCTTAACAATATCCACAACTTAAGAGAAATAAGTACTGAAACAAACGCTAATTCAACTGAAACATGTATGTTATTGTATTATCAAACAATAACAAATATGTATTATTATACTAATGGTTTGAAAATACAAAAAACATTCTCGAACATATATTTTGTTTTGTATGATTGCTATCAAATGTTGTAAATGACTTGTTTTAATTTCGTTGCATTCAAACTTCAAATTTAAATTTAAAATATGTATGAAATTTTTTCTTAAATAAAATTAATTAAAATATAATTTTTATTTTCTTATTTTTTATTTCAGTAATTCATTAAGTTTACAACAAATATCAAATGGAAAACATTTAATGCAATTAATATATGATTCTACATCAGAATTAATTGATTGTGAATATATTAGACGTAGTGATGTTGTAGAAAATTTTTTAGAACGTTTCTATTCACAATATGATATTATGCGTTTAAGGAATTTTACATCAATGATTAATATACCAAAATTAAAATCACCCTTAATATCAAATCATGAATTTAATAGATTTATTGAAGATAATATAATACCAGATGATTATTATGATTTACAAAATAAAATTCCAATTGATGATATGTTCTCAGCTGGTAAAATAACCTATAAACAAATAAATAATTATAATGAATTACCAGATAATATTAAAATAATGGTTAATTATCATGAATTAAAGAAAAAATGTAATAAATTAAATCAAGAAATGAAAAAAATTGCAATGGATTTAAATAGTCAAAATGAAATGAAAAAATTTGAAGCAACAGAACATTTTGTAAGGTAAGATTTATTTAATATTAGAAAACATTTTGGAATATTTTATAAATAAAAATCAAAGGACTTAATTAAATATATAAGTTAAATTTGAGAGAAACTTGTTACATTTATGCAATTGAATTTCAATTAAATTTATTTGTTTTTATATGATTTTCTTTAAAGATTTTTTTATTAAGATTCAATTATTTGAAAATAATAGTGCCCTTGCCTCTAATATTTCGGGTATCTAAAATACTTTAAATGAAAATATTCGCAATCCCTTGCTGTTTCAGTGTTGGTATTCTGCAATACCAACCGCATATGATAAACCTGATTTTAATTTTTACGATATAATTATGCATATAAATAAATATTAATTTATAATAGAAAAATTTATGTTTTTTCCCAATATTCAATTTAATATTCAAAAAAAAAAATTAAATTTTATTTTGAAATTTTCCAAACATTAATTGGTCGCTGTAGAATTTCCGAAAAAAAAATTTCAATATTTACCTAATAATTGAGGTGTAAGTGCGTGATCGTAAAACATAATTTCTCGGTTTTTTCATTTTTTATAATAATTTATTTGAATTTAAAATTCAATAATGATTCATCCATAATAACGTATATTTCCCATATGTGCACATGAATAATTTAAATATTTGCTCATATATAAAATAGTTCTTATAAAAGTGTTATACACTAATAATAAAAAATCCCCAAAATATATCAATTTTAATCGAGATCATTTTAGAAATTAAAAGACGAACAATATTTAAAAGAATCAACAATTTCAACTTATATAACAAATTTTTTCACAATTCCTTGCAAATTTTTTTTAAATTAACTGTAATAATATTTCATCTATTGGAAATACTGCATTAGAACATAAATAAATTAGGTTAATGATAAAATAAAATTCCATAAAAATGCAATTTCCATAAAAATGCAATTGCGTTATACATATATAAATTGTATTTATATACAATTCACATATGTATAACGCAATATTAGAGATGGTTGGTTATATGTCGCTGTATAAAAGCACAAAATTTATAGCTCCAATTTTTTAAAACTGCGTCTGCGTTCTATTGTGTGCTTTTTCTTTTGCTCTTATTATTTTCAATTCTATTATAGTTAAAAGCTAGCGCAATTGTTATGTATGTAAAGCGTGTTGTATATACATATAGGTTTTTCGTTAACAATTCCCATATATTTAATATATGAATGTTATATACAAAATTTGTTATATAAATTAAATAAATATGTATGTATTTAATGAAAATTTATTTTATCCAATGAAATACTTGTAAATTTGTATTTTTTTTTCTACTTCAATTGTGCACTTCAACTCAAGTGTCCAATGAAAAATTCTTAAATTTTGTATATGAAAAAACTGTTTTTTTATAAATCCTATTGAAAATGAAATCTAGAATATTCTTTTAAAAAATTTAAATTTAATTTAATATTTTAATGTTATTTTAATTATACTACTAATTTTTAATTATTTTTCGAATTTATTTTAATTATATTTTAAGTTTTTATTTTAAATTTTTTAATTAATTAATTATTTATTTTATTGAATTTTTTTATTTTTTTTAATTTATAATTTAGACGAAAACGTAGTGTTACAAATTTATTAATTGCACCAAATACAAAATGGTGTGGTCGTGGACAAATGGCTGATAGTTATAATGAATTAGGTGGTGCATCAAGAGCTGATAAATGTTGTAGAAAACATGATTATTGTAAAGGTAATATACCAGCAATGACAACAAAATGGCATTTATTTAATTATCGTCCATATACAATAAGTCATTGTAGCTGTGATACAAGGTCAGTTATTTTCTTATATATATATAATCCTACTAAGTATATAAAATTATGAAAATTATTATAATTCATAAATGCTATGTAAAATTTTTGATTTATTTGGAGTAATTCTAAGAAATTCAAGTCCGTTTACGCCCTTTTCACCTCAAATTTCAAATTTAAATGAATTTAGAGCTCATTTTTATGTTGAGTAATAAAAGTCGAATCAGAGAACTCATTTTCGCTACTTTAATCTTATTTTGTTTGGCTGAATTTAGTAGCGTGGTTTTCATTATGAATTTAAATTTATGTTGGTATTTAATAAAAAGATGGGTCATGATCTAATATTTGCTCTTAAATGGTGATGCTACATCTAATAATCAATGTCATTAATAATAATTTATTAAAATTCATGCAGATCTGTTGAATCTAAGGAATTTTAAGCAATATTTCTGCTTTCACGCAATAATAAGCAATCAATACATCTAATTCGTTAACTAGGTAAATTAGACAAAAAGTTTATTCATGGGGAAGATATCTGAGTTGAAAGGATTAAGGGAATAGAGCGCATAAATTATCGTTTTTAGAGGAAGCCCTGAGCCAGATCTAAACTTCCTCAAATTCCACAAAACTTAATTTTTCTTAAAATTTTTAATTTTTTATCATTTTAATTTCAATTTTGTTTTTTAAAAACAATTGCATAAATCGCATACATAAAATTTCAGAAATGACAAAAAAGAAAAAGATAAAAAAAAAATTTTTAAATCCTTTGAATAAATTTTCTTAAGTATATTTTTATAACTACATCAAACACAATGATTGTTAACAAAAAAAAAAAAAAGCAAAATCCCAAAAAGAATATTAAATAAAATTTATACAGACGTCGTCGTCGAGATATTTCACATTTATTAAGAATACCAGGTACAAGATGGTGTGGTAAAGGATGGAGTGCAAAAAAATATTCTGATTTAGGTGGCTATTCAAAAGCTGATCGTTGTTGTAGACAACATGATAAATCATGTCCCTTTTGGATTATGGGATTTCAAACTAAATACGGATTATTCAATTTTAGAGTCAATACATTAATGCATTGTAAATGTGATGAAAGGTAATGTTTGTTATTACAATGTTCTTCAGTTTTTATAGATTTTTAGATTTTAAAAACAAACAATTGTTTTAATAGAAATTCAATATTTTTCTTTAAGATTGAAAATTGAATATTTTTGATTTTCCAAATATTATTGAAAAGAACATTTTTAAATTTTTTTTTTTTATTATGATTTCAAGATTAAATTGAAAATCTTTTTATTTTTCTTTTACGGAATAATGTTATAGAAAGGGTTCTGTTTTTATATTATTTCTTGACTACTGCTATTGTTTTAAAATCTTATTTTATTGTATACAGTAGTTGGTATTCAAAAATTTATTTTTATTTTCTTTTAAGTTAATTTCAATGCATTCCAAATATCAATCTATTTTATTATACTTGGTTTAAATTGTAGATGTATGGGCACAAAATTAAAATTTTCAAAATTATTTAAAAAAAAAATTTTATATAGTAAAACTAAAATATGAGTGAATATTAATAAAGCGCAAATTTTACTGCTACTACACAATTTTCATATTGTGAATAAATATTAATAGAAAATATTATTTTAATTAACAGAGAGGGAGAGAAACAGTCCGAGAGAAAAAATAATATGAGATTTATTTAAAATCAAAATTTAAATGGAGACAATTACTGTACTGCACAATATACCTTTAATTTAATTTTATGTAAAATTGCATGACAGTACTCTCTCTACTATATTTAATTAGGATAATAGAGTTCTCTTTAATAAAATTTATTCTTGGTTTTATTTTTATTTATTTAATATCATCATAATTATTATGTGTTATTAGGAGTGCAAGTGTTGGGTAAAGTGGAAAAATATCTGTGTAGAATATTAATGAATATTAATTATTATAAAATACAATAATGTCACCTATAAAAATTTGTGAACCAACAGAGTTGTACTTCCTTTAAATTTAATGTTTTAACTTTTTACATTCAAAATTGAAACTCAAGAATAGTTGCATTCCTAAACGTAATAGGGTTTACATAAAAAATTTAAACTAAATCACGGCATATTTGTGTAGAATACTTTAAAAATTTTTTCTAATTAAATTTTTAAAATACAAATATAAAATAAATAAATTTTGTTCAAAAAAAAAACAAAAAGGATCCTTAAAGAAAAATCCTTCACATTGTTCATTTTATTTTTTTGATTCTTTATTCAAAACAATCAAAAAAATGTAAAATCAAATCTTTTTCAATTAATCGATAACACATTTATCATCAATGAAAAAAAATATTTTCTAAATTTACATCAATGTAAGATCCACACAAAACTTTTACAGACATTTAACATATTTTTTTTTTGTTTGTAATTTTGAATAAGAAATTTCATTTCCCCCAAAAATCTAAATGGAAAAAAAATACACAATGAACATTTCTTTTCAGTCTGTTAATCACAAAAACTCAGAATAGGTAGATTTTACACCCAAATTTTGTATAATATCCTTCCTTAACATACCTAAAATATCATCAAAAATTCTCATGTTATATAATTTACATATTAAACATTTTATATTGATTTGTCTCCTACAGTATAACAAAATAAAGTTGAAAACAAGGGGAAACCCATTTGAAATATAATAAAGGATATTTTTAGTGTATAAGAAAAAATTTAATATGAAAATAAAGAAAAAAAATATTGGAAAAATTTTTTTAAGAAAAATTTTTTAAAGTTTAGGAAAATTTTTGCCTTTTCTTTCTTTATTGAATTATTTATGTATTATTGTGTTAGTATAAAAGAAATGTAAAAAAAAAACCAAAAACAACAACAATAAGAACAAGTATAATAAAATACAGAAAATGTCATTTAAAAACGATATTAAACGGTAAATACGAATATAAAGAAATTTTTTCGTTAAATAAGGAAGAAAAATTTATTTTGTTGTTTTTTCTTTTATGCAAAAAAAAAAATTATTATTTTGTTAAGAAAATTTCTTAACTTTTTTCTTCCTATTTCTTTTTTTTTTGTTTGCTTTTCGTTTTGTTTTTGGTGTTAAAACTGGACAAAGATTTACAAATCTAGGACAAAATGAACAACTCAGCAAAAAAAAATATTCGGGAAATATGAAAAATTGGCATAATCTTAAGAATTAAATGAATCCTTCAAACACATTACAAGTTCACGCTCCAATAAACCACAATAGTATACTCGTATAAAAATTCTTTGTATATATATATATATATATATTGTATATATAATACTTTGTATATATATATATATATATATAATACTTTGTACAGTCGACTCATATTATTTGAGATGTGTCATTGAAAATCAAGCCTGAAATAATAAAATATGACACTTGCGTAGCGAAAGCGTACCGTTTGTGGGTGCTTTATAGAGCAATAAATATCGAAAAAATGCTCACACCTCGTAATGATAGACTAATCTCCATATAATATTCTTAATTTTTTATTCACCAATTGAGAATAATGTGAGTGAACGTAATTAATTTTTATCACGTATTTACCAAGTAAGAAAATTGTGGTTGAAAACATTTTTGTAGTCTCGTTATTCCTAACAATTTTGGGCAAAAAAAATTTGACTAATTCAAGCGAGAATTCTAATTCAATATTTTAATTTCCATGTAGTGGAATTTATTTTTAATTCCGCTGCGATGAGTGAAAATCAAAAACATTAATTTACATAATAATAAATCTATAAGAAATATGGGGTAATATAAGCAATTTATTTTATTAGGAATTTACTGTATAACTGTTTTTTTCTTATAGTAATAATACTATATAACAAAATAATAGAGAAGGGTGAATAAAAGTTGACAAAAAAGAAAAATAAGCCTGGTCGGAAGCAAATAACGATTAACAATCAAACAATGTAACAAAACACTAAATATATATGTACAATATACAAAACGATATTATTAAAACTAACATATGTACATATAATATTATATTATGTATAAATGTATAGTTTAAAATTAACATCCTGCTATGATTATGTGGTGACAAGCTACATGATCATTTTACGATTAAACACATATAAGAATTTAATACAAAACTATTAAAAAAAGTATAAATTGTGTTAATGTTAACGCGTAAAGTGATTTCTACACTCATTTCCCAATGGAATTATGAATTTGTTAATAATTAAAAGAAAAAAAAAACGGGAATTGATTTAATCAAAAATTAATCTGACGACGTGTTTGTCCTCAAGTAGAATGTATACAAAATTGTAAATAATAATTGATCTTTTATTGCAATATTTTTTTTTTTGAAGTTTTTGTAACATATTTCAAAAATTGTTATTTTAACATTTTTGGTTCATTGATTCTTAAATTGACAGATTTTTTATAATCTAAAGAGTTATGCACATATACATACTTAAATATATACATTTATTACTGTATTTAAAGAAAATTTAATACAGAAACGGTATAAGGTGAAAGATTACAAGTAATAATATGTAGAACTTGGTGTACGACACAAGCAATACAAGCAGTACAAGAATTTTTAATTGATTTACTGATTTTATCAAGATAAAATTTTATTTAAAGTGTTCAACATGTTATTATACAATTTTTTACAGATAAATGTTAAAAATAATTTAAAATTAAATAATTACTAATAACATGTTAATAATTATCATAAACTGAATGTAAATGAAATAAAATCGGAACTGAGTTTAACTCACATTTTAATATGATTGCATTAGAGCCTATCGTGGGGCAACAGTTTGCAATAAAACGGGTATTAAGCTTAATCTACCTTTAAATATGATTCATTAGTCGATAACTACATTCCAAAAATAAAATTTATAATTCTCAAACACAGCGATAGACTCCATCATGGGGCGCCAGCCATTAAACTGCGATTTTTTATCATAAACTCTACTTACAATGAATCGGAAATGAAGGTAAATCTATCTTTTAAAATGATTCATTAGTCT